GGGGGGGGGGGTGTTACACAATAATAACCAGAACAGATGGGTTGCTAGATGGATGGATTAATAGATATGTGATGAAGCAAGTGTAGTACAATGTTAGTTGTAGAATGCAGGTGAGACATACTTGGGTGTTCACTGTACAATTCTTTCCATTTTTCTGGACATGTGAAAAATTTTACAATAGAATGTTGGTGAGGGAGGAAAGAATAGGAACCATCCTGAAAAATAGAAAAGCACTAGCTAGCATTTGTTCTGTCTTACATTGTGTTGGGCCCCATGCCAAGCACTTTAGATTCATTATCTCATTTAATCTTCTCAACAGACCCATAGTTGGTGCTATTATTTTCTCCATTTTGTAGATGAGAAAACTGAGGTTCGGAGAGTCTAAGTCACTTATCTAAGGTGGCAATGCTTTAAATAGTAGAGGCAGGACTCTACTATTCCGGTGTGTGTGATTCCATAATTGACGCTCTTCACTCTCTCAGGTCTGGAGCCCCCAGCCTTCCTGCCTACTTTTGCCCATTTCTTTGATAGAAAGTTAAAACCCAATGAATGGCTTCTAACAACTTAAATTTTTACATTTCTCCAGTATTGGATTGTGCTTTTATGGAAGGAAAAATAAAGTTCTTATTTAAGGTCTCTTCCTTTGGGGATGGGACTGTCTCCTTCCCAGCAATCTTGGCAGCTGCACATTCTTTGCCAGGTGCTAAGAAAACTTGCTTCACGTAAGGGGCTCCAAAAGTGGCCATCGGTGTTCCTGTCTCCTTTTGTTCTCTGAAGGTAGGGCAGGCTCTTTTCATGAATGAGAACACTGGGAGATTCAGAGAGAAAATAAATTGACCAAGACAGATCTCCAACTCGCACTCCTGATGTGGAGTCTCTTATTTGGTCTTCAGGCTGGTTTCCGACTAAACCGGGCCTGGCAATGAAGATGCACTTGCTCGGGGATGCCCCTGGTTTCTGTGGGGGCTTCCCAGACAGTCATGCTTCCTGATCAGCATTCCTCGCCTGGCACGGTCCTGGAGCTTTTGAGGGGATGAGCAGAGATCTGAGCCAGTCGTGGACATGCGCTCTTGGCCACCTGCAAACCTTTGCAAAAAGAGCTGTTTTCATCCAGGTTTCCTTTTCACAGAGGGCCTATAAGATGCCTTGATGTCCCATCCTCTGCTTCACTGTGGCCCTAGGGAGGGGCAGAGACCTAGGGGTGCCCGTCTTCCCCAGCAGGAAAGGGCCCCTATTCTGCAGAGAGGAGGTCCCTAGAGGAGGAGGTGCCTTGTCCGCCTGTCAGCAGGGCTGCAGCCTGGGTAGGGGCCGGCCTCCCTCGTGCCCCATACCCACCAGGGCAGAGCTGGAGATGCTGCACGAGCCGGACGACCAGACGGCCTGCGCCCCCAGTACACAGCCCGGGTCTGCTTTGGCTCCCCCAGCTCTACCGCCAAGCAGCTCAGCCAGAGCGCCCCATTTGGAGACTGCAGCCCCCGGAGGTGGAGTGGCTGGGCCGAGGCCTGCCGGCGCTGGGGGGCTGACACCCAATCCCAGCCTGGGGCGCACAGGCGCGTCGCTCCCGGCCCACGCGGGATGGGCGGAGCAAGGGGTGGGGGGTGGGAGTGGCCGGCTGGCTTGCCCGTGGGCTTTTTCCGACCGGGCTGCCGTCCCAGGTTCTAGTCTCCGCCTGGGGTCGCCTGTGCACTGCAGCTCCCGAAGGCTTTTCTGCACGGTACGCGGGGGAGGCAGCTGCCCTGTGGCTGCTGTCGGGGCCCGAGGCGGGGGCTCTTG